AAGGGTCCCAGGTTCGATTCCAGCCAAGGGCATGTACCTCAGTTGCAGGCTCGTCCCCAGCCCTGGTCTGGGTATTTGCAGCAGGCAACCAATGTGTCTCTCTCACATTGATATTTCTCTCTCTCTTTCTTTCTTTCTTTCTCTCTTTCTATCCCCCCCCCTTCCATTCTCTCTGAAAAGCAATGGAAAAAATATCCTTGGGTGAGGGTTAAAACATAATAATAATTTAAAAAATAAAGAGAGAGTTTCCATAAATAGTTAATGCAAAAATAGTCTTGTACTTGTGAAGTTGGAGGTGTGGATTTCTTGCAGGAACAGACCTGAGGGCCATATGCCAGCAATACTGGATTGAGTTATGGTGACTTCTGTGTCTACCAAGAGAGTACTTGAGTTGCCGTGTTCCATATTTAAATTTAGGATGCAAATGGAAAAACAGTTTTTACAACTCTAAATACACTTTCTACTACAGAGAATAGTGACTGAAGCAAAAAGCAAAAAATAGCTGCTTGCACCACGGTTTGAGAAAATCTAAATCTAAAAAACGATCGTTTTTTATTTGCATGCTACCAAATAAGGACACTGGGGAAGCAGTGAGTCACCAGTGTTCTAGCACTTACCAGATTCCAGCATGATGTGACGGTATTCTTTAAGAGGATATTCTAAAATTTACATGAAGCTTTCCCCCAAACATGTAACCTCTAAGTTCCTGTCTGGAAAATGGGCCGAGACACAACTGTACAGAACAGTGAGGAGGCTGCTCTAACGAATGATTTCAACACTCTCAAACCCTCAAGAATATGGGAATCATACCTCACATCTGAAGAGCACGTTAGGCTTTTAAAAGTACTTTCACTTACATCATCTCATTTGATCACATTTGATTCTCACAAAATCCTCGAGGCAAGGCGTTTGTAAGTGTGTGGTTGTCATATTAAAATGTCATTGAACTGTGGGTCTTTTTGTAGAGACAGGATGAATCACGATGGGGGGAAAAAAGGAACAACGAATGAAAACGAGGAGATTGAGAGATCTAAGCTCCCTGTTGACATATCACAGGGCCCCTGCATAAACTGAAGCCCCTCAAGTACCGAAACCCAGCAGAAAGGTTTAGGAACTGCTTGCAACCCACGTGTGTTTTCTTCTCTAAGCTTTTAGAAGACAGTTTAAAGAGAGCTGGGGAATGTTCTGGCCTTTTGTTTTGAAACTTCCTCTGCTTGTTGTCTACTTGTCTGCTGACTGTGCGATCAGGCTATTTGCTTTAAACAGACTGAACAATCTCTAAGGCTAAGCAGATGTCTATGACGGGTCGACTTACTTTGAATGTGAAAAAATGTTTACTGAGCTCATCTGCCATGTGAAGATTCTCCGCCTCGGTGTGACACAGTCTAGAGTTTAAAGGCGAGCGCCATCTCTTGCGGCATGTTTGGAAGGTGGCAGAAGAAAAAGTCTCCGTTCTATAGCATGATCAGCTATCTGCATCTCCCCGAGGATTTTTCATGAACCTTAGGAGGAAATCTGTATTATTCCATTTGCAAGGGCAAACCACCTTTGCCAAGAAACCACGGAGCAAAATTTCCAAAGACGGAAGACATTTCTCCTCGTGTTCCCAGGTTAGCACTGGGCCAGCAGGGAGCTCAAAACCTGCATCTTACAAGAAGCATTTTCTGTGAGTCTGGGTAACTGCAGTAGGTTTTACATATTAACTTATAGCAAAATAACAAAATAAACGAATGAAGGTGACATCACATCGCCCCCCTGCTTCACTGTACAGAGGGGAAGGGGGGAGAAGGGGAGTGAAAATTTCCACCAAGCAAAGACACCTACACTCTGCCTCCCTCTCCCACCCTGAGTTGTCACCCATCTTTGCACAACACAGTTCACCATGTATTTCTCCTGCCAGAATGGTGGCCACAAGGCCTTGCGTGCGTGCGTGTGTGTGTGTGTGTGTGTGTGTGTGTGTGTGTTGGGGGCGCGCTGTCCATCAGGACATCAAACAACAGGTCATAATAGAAACCAGGGCTCAGGAAACGGTTCTGGTACTGCCTCCATCTCTAATTATCTGTGTGACTTTCGACAAGGTATTCTACCTCTTTCATCTGTAAAACAAGGGGGTTGGGCTAAGTGTTCTCCAAGGTTTCCAACAGCTCTTAAAAATTAGGATCCTTTTGGTAAGCACCGTGTAGGGAGGTTGTGAAGTAAAGCATAATTATCCCTGTGAGCTGTAAAAGAACAGACCTTGGAGGTGGTGTGAAAATAATCCACAAGGAATCCTTGTGATGGGATGGGAACTATATAGAGGCATTGAACTGTGTGTAGTGCTTAACATGAGGGGAGTGAGATATATGAGCCAATATAAAACAGGGCTCGTGTGAGAAAGCCCACATCTTGACACAGAAAAGCCGGGCTTTTGAACCTAAGCTGTGCCCTATTCCCTCCTACAATCTCTCCCCATGATAATGTAGCACCTTGTGCACACAATTAAATGTCAGCTACAAAAAACATTTCCCTTGGCTTTGTTGTTCCAGAACGGGATTCTTTTGTCTTCAATATAATGGATATGCAGAAACAATGATAGAACAGAGATTTTTTTCTAAAGCGATGACAAACACACTGCTGCTTCCTCCCTCCCTCCTTCCTCCTTCTCCCCACCCCCCAAAATAAATCATTGTTCCAAAAAA